ATAGGCCGAGGCGCTGCAAGACCACAGCTGACATTCCTGTGGAAAACGGAATGCAAAGCCCAGCCGGAGGGGAAAACTTCTCCTCCCATCCACCCCCGCCAAAGGGATTCGCTATTTTGTGTTTCCGAGCCCGTGTGGCGCTTTCCAAACGCCATGTCATTCTTGATGTGAAGCTGCAGAAACCTGCAGTACACATGGGGGGAGGGGTTCTGTCTACTTTTTAAAGTCTCGACAGTCACATTGTTGGTTTACTGTTACTGTCACAAGAAAGTGTCATTTTTCACGTCTGATTAATTTTCCGGCGAGATTGAAGTAATTGTCATTATTCTTTGTTATTGTTGTTGTTGTTATTTTTTAATAATGCAAAATAATCGTTCGCTCTCCTCCGTTCGGCGGTCCCGTTATATATTTTAGTTGACCTGCTCTTAAACGCTTTCTGGTCCGGGGTGCGAATCGAGGTTTAGGAGATTAAGATGGAAGATGTATTTCTCCGGCGGGGGGGGGGGGACTCATCTTTTTAACTCTCTTCACGGCGCTCTCAAAAAAAAAATAAATATCTGAGCGAGGTGTGTCATGTCGCAGGGCAATATAGTCTTCCCGTCGAGGTTTTAGTCGATTTTGGTGAACGCATGGGGGGCACAGGACTGCTAAAGAAATGTTAATTTACTGGTTTGTCTCTGCCAGTCGGTGACGGGCACTGGTCGGACTGGAAACGGCTCCGTGCTGCGAGTCCCCCCGTGAGGCTTGAGGCGCAGTTACTGTTAATTGTGAAAGAGAGCTCAGAAGTTGTGTGTTCCCAAGAGACGTGAGACTTTGGAGTTCGAGCTTTTATTTTTTTATTGATTTATTCTTCAGTCTTCACCCGGGCGGAAGTATAACGAGTCGTATTCTGCGGCCACGAAGGCGACTTTTTCCCAAAATTTGGGCCCGACGGCGCGTCCGCGTCTGTGGCGCGCTCGGGAGTGACGTCATGGGCTCCGGCCGGGCCGGGAGAGACGGGAGAGGCCCGGGCTGCTCCGTGTGTCTTTCTTGTGTGTGTGTGTGTGTTGTGGAAAGAAAACGACTAGAAAAATAAATAAAAAAAGGGGGACATGAAAGGGGGGGGAGGTGCACGTCGCTCTTTTAAAGCGGCGCTCTGCGTAGGACACCGGTCTTTCCCTCCCACCAGTTTCAGTACGTCAACAGCATTTATGATGTTTCTTTATTAGCCCTATACAATTTCTTGCATTAGGAATTTGTCTTTTCGCATACCCCAGCTTTTTCCCTCCATGAGACACAGACAGGGAGAGAAACTGGGGGTCAGAGCGCAGGGTCTGCCATTGTACGGCGCCCCTGGAGCAGCTGGGGTGAAGGGCCTCGCTCAGGGGCCCACTGGAGTAGGATTCCTCTGCCGGGCCGCGGGATTTGAACCAGCAACCTTCCAGTCACAGGCGCAGATCCTGAGCCACAGAGCCGCCTCTCCGCCCCAGCAAGGGGGCGCTCCGGCTCCCCTGCATCTTGGACGTGCTCTCTGGCCTGCCCCCCCCCCCTGTTCACTGCAGTGAAGATGAGGTCTGCCGGCTCTTCTCTGTCCTGTGCAGATCAAGTCACTCGCGGCCTCCCGACACGCTCCAGCTCCACGCTGCACGTCTGCAAACTGCAAGCGAGATAGACTCCGCGATAGGCTCTCATGTAGCTGATCCCCCAGGCGTAGCGCAAGTGCATGAGCCATGAGCCATGAGCCATGAGCCAAGACTCGCCCTCATTAACGAGCCCCCAGTTACCGTCCCTTCAGGTCTTGAGTCTGGAGGGGAAAACCCAGCAGTACAAAAGACCAAGAACCAAGAACCAAGAACCAAGAACCAAGAACCAAGAACCAAGAACCAAGAACCAAGAACCAAGAACCAAGAACCAAGATCCATGATCCATGATCCATGCTAGTTACCGTCCCTTCAGGTCTTGAGTCTAGAGGGGGCACCCAGCAGTACAAAAGACCAAGTAACAGGTTTATTCCCGGCTGGAAAGAGAGGAGAGACAGCACAACGTTTCAGCTGTGGAGCCTTTCTTGGGGGTCGTGAGGGAAACGCCTTCTCGCCGCACAGCCGAAACGTTGTGTTGTCTCTCTCCTCTCCCCAGCCGGGAATAAACCCTTCGCTTGGTCCTTTGCGGTCCACGCCGGCTGACGCGCCCCCCCACCAGCCCTACAAGGATTCAGAATCCGCACAGGATTCTGGATTCGGGCCCTGCCGCCGGCGAGGGAGCGTTTCTCTGGGGTGGCGCAGAGGCTGGGAAGAGAGAGCATCTCGTTTGCCGACAAGGCCGCTGTACGCTGGACCTTGATCGATTGGCTGGTTGGTTGATTGATTGATTGGATGTGTCGGCGGTCGTGAGGCTGGCCATGGTGGTTGCCCTGTGGGGAGGAGGAGGAGGAGGGGGGTGTTGGTGGTCACACGGGGGGCAGCCCAGTGGTCCCGGCTGTGGGGGTGGAGGGGTCGTGTTCTTGGGACGGGGTCGCAGGGTCTTGGGCGCCCTCTTGTGGACGTAGCGGGATCGTGCTTGTGCGCCAGCTGGGCACGTCTGCAAACTGCAAGCGAGATAGACTCCGCGATAGGCTCACCCCATGGGCTGGGAGCTCTCATGAGCTCTCACGTAGCTGATCCCCCAGGCATAGTGCAAGTGCATGAACCATGAACCATGCATTTACATAGAATAGGAGACTGTCTGGTTTACTGGTCCTCCTGTGGCCCCCATTTTGGGACAGTCTGAGTGGGAGAAATCCCATACATCCTGCGGTGCGCTGGCTCTGCGGCTCAGGACCTGCGCCTGTGGCCGGGAGGTTGCCGGTTCGAATCCCGCGGCCGACAGAGGAATCCTGCGCCGTGGGGGCCCCCTGAGCGAGGCCCTTCACCCCAGCTGCTCCAGGGGCGCCGTATAAATGGCCGACCCTGCGCTCTGACCCCCAGCTTCTCTCTCCCTGTCTG